TTAAAGCACCTGCAACCTGGTGGATTTTAGGAGCAGGCGTTCCATGCTGCAGAGCCTGGCATGGCTGAACCCAGCATGGCTTAGAAGGAACAGGGCCTGCACCCATCCTCAGAACCTGATTTTCCCTGGGAAATTCAGCTGTGGGACAGGCATTTTATACCTCTCCGATATTTAAAATTTACAAGTGTGATGAATCACACTACCTTAGAGAAATGGAATCACAGAACCATGAAGGTTGGAAAAGATTGTTTGGTCCAGCTTGTGACCGATCCCCACCTTATCACCCAGACCAGAGCACTGAGTGCCACATCCAGTCCTTCCCTAAAAACCTCCAGGGATAGGGACTCCAAACCTCCCTGGGCAGCCCCTTCCACTGTCTGACAGACTTCTATATTTCCAAATACATTAAGCACTTCCTGAACTGCAAATATATCCTTGCCTAGTCCAGAGCTGGGAGCCACTATTGCCCCCACTCCCAAGACAGTTTTGGATACTCCTCCATTCTCCCTCCTTAGGAAGATTGTCAGAAAAAGCCTTTTATTGTCTGAAGCATGATTGTTTTGCTTAGGTACTAGGCACATTTTGTACAAGAATAAAGAAATGAAAAATGTAGATATTTGTAGTATGTCTTATAAACCCTAAACTAAGATAAGATTTAGAAAGAGATTGACCCATGCTGAAGGCATAGCCTTCATATTTGCCATTCAAGCACTTTTTCTGAGGAATATCTGATTTGGTAATGTAAAGAGGCAAAGAACTAAACCTATATTTTCTTATGATGTGTAGCTCTGCCATACAATCATGCACAGTCAAGGGAAGAAAAGGGTGATCCCATTAAATAGAATTTGAAAAATTCTGTTGCATTTTTCCCTTTACTGAGAGCAGCAATTCTGGAGTGGAGGAAGGGAGGCCTCCTGTTCTTCTCAGGAGGGCTCCAGACAAAGCCAGGCAGTGTTTGCTCACTTCTCTTGGCTTTCAGCTGCTCCACTCTGATCATCTTTTTACACAACTTTCAGTGCTTCTGCTGCTGCTGCTCTGAACTTGGCAGGAAAAGTGGAATAGTAGGACAGAAAGGCTTCTATAGTGGATCAAAGGACACAACTGCCCCTGGAAGCCTTTCCTGGATAAATTACAGCCTGTGGGGAAGGTAAGACTCTGGAGATCATAACCATTTGAGAAGCAGCTTCTTCACGTGACTGCAGGTGGGATAAGTCAAACAACATTTGCTTTCTCTACTTTCTTATTGAGTGTAACAACACTGGGGTGTTTTGTTGTCCATGGATTTCAAGATGAGAATCCACAAAATAGGATCTCAATTCCTTAGAGGTCTCCCATTCTGGAAAAGAAATCCAGTACACTGGGGTGAAAGGAACAAAAAACTACAACTTTACAAAAAGAATGCTACTTTTATTTTCAAATGCTGTAAAAAGCCTCATATAAATTTTTATAATGCTTCTATGTAACTTTCCCACTTTCCCAACCACAACTAATGAAACAGTCTAGGAAAAATATAGCAGTTGCCATTTTGACTCCAAGAATGAGCTGCTGTGAGATCTCAACAGCGAAGGACAAGGTACAGTGTGTTACAACACCTGTAATTGCTTGTGTTATTGAGAAAGTGAGAGCACTTCCTAAGCATTGCCTGGGCTAGACTGCAGCATTCTCTGCTTGCTGGGCACAGGAGGAGTATCAGCCCTAGGGAAGCAGCTGACAGCAGAGTTGTGTGCTGCATCTGGTGCCTATTCCTGGTGGCCCCACCCCCCGCTGAACTTCCCCCAGCAGGTGCCTTTATCCCAAGCTGTTTCCAAAGGCTCAGGTGGGGAACAATTGACCTATAAAAATAACACTTCTATAACTCTCCAGCAAGGCAAATTTAACAGTGCAAATGCAGTATCAACAAGATTTGATTTCTGAATGCTGGCAATTTTTTTTAACTCCTTTTACACATGAGACAACCTCTGCTGATGTCCTGTACTTAAGGCCACTCACTCAAGCTGATTGGAGATGGAACAAATTGCAAAAGCTCAGCTGCAGCTCCCAATCCAAGCTTCCTCCCCACTTTCAGGGAATCCCAAACCAGAATTTGGATTCAGGCTCTCCACTTCCATCAATGCACTCAAGTTTTCCCTGCTGGAATAGGTAAACATCCCAGCAAACCTCTGATAACAATTTGCATACACAATTTAGCATTTTAACAAAAGTTTAACAAAACTACTTCCAGAAAATAAATTTTCACATGGTTGCAATCATCAAGCCATTTCAGGATCTTTGGTACTCCAAGAATAAGAAAAATAAATGGCACAGTGACAAATGTTGCCAAAGGAAAACACACTACCATCCAAAGGAATCAGATAGAAATAACAAAATTAAAGACATGTTGCACTTTCTTTTTTTGTTTTTGAAAGCCAGTGTAGATTAACGTGCTGTTCTCTTTAGTCCAGTAAAGTGTCACAGTTTCACCTTTAAAAAAAATCCCTATCATCCTAAAAGCAGTAGTTAATATTGTTTAACTTGACTTACTGATTAAAATAATGCTACATTTACAAAAAAAATTTTAAGACTCAACTACCACAATGTGGGAGTTTATGCTAGATAGGCTGCAGGCTGTTTCCTTATGGATATAACTCCCATGTGAGCACTGATATGATTAATCATCTGCAGTTTTAAATTAGTATTATCTTTAGTAGTAGTTTAGCAGTAGTAGCTGCAAGTAGAAGGGTTGAGCTTTTTCCCGAGTTTGTAAACGAGTATGTACAGATGTTGTTTAATAGATAGCTTTAAATTAAGTGTGTATTTCTCTGCCCTCCTCTAAGTACCACAAAAAAAAATTACCAGTATCACTGAGCATTTGCAGTTTCCATGAAACTGAGCTTGTCTCAACAAGTTTGAGCACAGACTTCTTTGTAGATCATGTTAATGGGGTTACTGTGCTCTTCTGAAAGGTGGCAGTTGAGGAATTTCAATTCCAGTGCACACGGTGCCCCATGGATGAAACTGGAAATTAAAACTAATGAAAAGTATTTTGAATAGCAGTGTCCTTTGAGGCCAAATCTGTGTCTCAGGATTTTTTTTCCTGAGTTTCCCTGTTTTGGAGTCAAGGCCTCAGGAAAGGCATTTCCTTTCCCGAGAAGCCTCAAGAGCTGTTGGGGCACTGGCAGAACAATGCCTGAAAGGTGGATTTAAGTGAGTTATTGTTTTTTCTACAGCCTCAGCACACTGACAAGGCTAAGAACAACACTTGAGAATTTTTAAGGACCTTGCCCCAACAGCAGTACAGGGATGTTAATTAGTGTTAGGTCTGGGAAGCAAATCTGGGAGATCAAGGAGCTGTTCCCACCTCAGTCCAGCATTCAGGCAGAAGCTCAGCTTAGCTTTGCTCTAATACTGGATGGGCCTGAGGCAGTGGCTACTCCTCTTTGAAGAGCTGAAGACTGAAACTGTTTGGTGTATTAGATATTAGATGCTTCAAGGGAGACAAAACCATGGAGGAAAGGCTGGATCAGGGAAGAATACCTGCCCATCACAGGCACTGATGCACAGAAATCTTGCTGGCAAATGGGCTTTTATGCAACAGATCAACATCCCAGTATGTTTTTCAGAGCATACAAATAATTCAGAACAGCTGATACCACAGTGCCTAACAGCAATAAATATTTCTCTAAGGGCTTTATAACAGTAGTTTCCATATTGCTACAAAAATCTGTCCAGTGGAATCTTTCCTGCTGTATGCCAAAACATTCTGTGCTCCTCTCAGAAGGGGCTGCAGAGGTTTTTAGGTGCCTTTCACTGGTGTTCAGAGGAGGGAGACAGCAAGAGTGACTATGCTTGTTCAGCCACTGGGGAATTGTTCAGTGCTGTACACCTCTTTCCAACAGAAAATGACAGCAGAGATCTCTGCTGTACTATGACAGATTCAAAGCCCAGCAGATAAGCTCTAACTACAGGCAGAGAAAGTCACCAGTGACCAGATAATTCAAAACTGCTCAGAGAGTACAACTGCTGCTGGGCTGATGAACAAAACCAGAGCCTGCCCATAGAGGTATTTCTGCTTCTGTTTCTTCTGCCCAGGGAAAGGACACGTAGCTTGGCTGTCAGGTTGTCACCATCCTGCAGACTGGCCACAAGAACATTTAGGTGGTCCCTGGAAATTGGGCTGCAGGCTCAGCTGATCCTTTCTAATCCCATGGCCATGCCAAGAGGAGATCCTGGAAGAAAAGGAGCCCACTGGAGAATCTGAATCTAGTGGGACACTCAGTTTCCTCTATGTGAGCAGAGGCTGTGATTCTGGAGAGGCAAAAGCAGGATCCCTTCTGCCTGCAGCTGCTCAGGGAGCAAAAAAAAGCAAAAGCACCGATCTGATCACTTCTCTAGAACACATTTTGCACAGAGAGAAGAGAATGTTTGAATTATGAGCAGCTCAAAGATGATCTCCTTTGAGTAGAGGCAGGAATGCAGTCTTGGAAACTGCCATTTCCTCAAAACTTCCTATCAGAGTGTTTCTCTTCTGCTAAAAATATTGATACTTTTTATTCTGATTCCTTTTTTCTTCTGAAATTGCCAGCAGGCATCATCACCTCTAACAGTAATACTGCCAACGATCATTTAAACAGATCACAGAGACTGCCTCACTGCCACACACTGTGGGAAAAGGGACAAAAGGGATGATATAAAGGGTGATAAAGTCCTGCACTCGGGGTAAGAGAGGGCACACAGGACACAAGGAGGCCCAGAGGACACTGCTATTTAAAATAATTCCATGTGCTACACTCATGGGGGATCTGCAGACCACAAATGCAACACCCTTGAGCAACTGCTCAGAGAGGTTTGCAAATGTGGACAGTTTTCTTTTTACTGCATATTTAAACCCCACCAGCTGAGCAGTTCAACACCAATGCTGCATCAAATGATGTGTTTCCCTCTTGGGTGGATTAGATGGTTTACAGTACCAACAAAGCCACAGTACAGAGAGGCATAATTAACCATTATCCACACATAGGCAGTGCAGGAAAAGCGATGCACGTTCCTTTTATTCCAGTACCTTGGTATAATAAAGTTAACAAAAATATTCAAATATTTAAAAAAAAAGTAAAGGGAAAAAAAAAGAAAAAAAAAAGCCAGCTGGCACTGCCAACTAATTCCTGTAGTAGTCTTAGAAATCCTAATCTTGTAGAATTTCCATGTGAAATCCATGCACACCAGAGTCGATGTATTGATAACTAACGCCAAGTGGGCCTGGTGATGCAGCTACCTGAGGTTTGTGTTTGCAATTTCTTTTGGGGAGTTGTGTTCCGTTTCACAACTTCCCAGCTTTCATGTAGGAAGGGATGGAGCCACGCTGGGTGAGTCCTTCAAACCTCTTGTAGGTGTAATTGAGGAAAACCCAGTCTTTGGATTTGTAGTCAGGTTCTGTTGTGTTTGGCACTAGAATTCAGAAACAAAAGCAAACACACATTAAAAGAGTTAAACCCAGGCTGCTTCTGAGAGCACTTTTCACAGAGCCAAACAGCCCTGAACTCTTTATTTCTTTAGTCAGCAGAAACTCCTGGAAGGAATCCTGCTTCTAATCAGGTCAGTTGCCTTTTTTCAATGGTCTGAGTTATAATTTCACTATAGAACTCAGAAGCAGAAAAAAGGTGGGGGGGTGTTTGTTTTGCCTTTTTTTTTTTTAATTATGTGTACAGACTCTACCAGGTTTCTATACCTTGACAGAAGCCTCTAACACACCCACAGGACACACAATTACAAACCTCATGACATTTCTGATGTTCTGATTTTTAGTATCTACACATACAATACCATTTTCAGTGGGTCTGAAATGCCAAAATAATACAAATGTTCTTGGCATTATCCAAATATGGACATAACCAGCTTTGACACTGGAGACGGGTTGTTCTGCATTAAAAGGACAAACTTCCTCACCATTAAATAAAAGCCATTTCAGAAAAAAAAATTACCAACAGCTTTTGGATAATTCTTATGGCTGTTAACACAGCTACACTTAGCAGACATCAATTAATCATCTGCCAATCTTCAAGTAACTGAAAACAGTTGGACCTGAGACTATTCATATCTAAAAGGCTTGTCACAGAACCAAGCCTTTTAGATATGAAAATTTCCTGTAACTTACCAAGAGAAATCAACAGCTAAAAAAACCCTGAAGTGATTTACAGAGCAACTCAGGCTCATCAAATACTGCGTTAAGTAATCAACTGTCGGAAAATTCTTACCCACAAATTATCTCAACAATTATGTTTGGCACAAACCTCAAAAGTCACTGAAGATGAAAAGCAAACCAGTGCATGATATTTTACCAGAATCTGGTAAGACAGAGTGCCTGGCAGAAACTCCACTGCTTTCTGTGCTCACTACCTGTGCAAACCATTTTTAACAAGAGTCTGGACTCTTAAAATCTCTGGGCTTTGCAGCTATGAGAGATCAAAGGTTTACACTCATATTGCAAATAAAATATAGAGACTTGATCTACAGACTAATTTGATTGGGTCATTAGAAAAATTAATATAAACAACAACAAAGGCATCTGTGCAGTATTCTGGCATGTCACAGACAGAGATTCGGAATTTACAATGGCAGTCTCACCTGGCTGTAAAATGTCCGATTCAGGAAATTCATCAAAGTTGGAAGTATCATCAATACTTTTGATTTCTATAGGGATTGCAGCTGGTCTTTCCCTGCAAATAAAGATAAATGCCAGAAGAGTGAATATTGGGAAATGAGACATTAAATTCCATTTTTAACTTAGCTTTTTACACTTAAAGCTTCCCTTAATGCAGAGCACAAGTGTTCCACTGAGTGCATCACAGATGAATCTGACTCCTGTTTGCTGACACCATGGGGAGATTGTTTGGTTACCTATCCCCATTGGTGTCTTCAGGTTTGGGGCAAACATCATTTTCCTACTCAGAGAGCATCCCACACTTACCTGCCACACAGCTATCACCCTGATCTTGTCACCAGCCACCAGTGTGGTTACCCTTTTTCACAAACCCAGCCCAGCAGGATTGCACTTGCACTCAGAGCTTTACAGTTCCAGTGCTCATTAGCCTGGACCTCATCCAAAACCTTTGGACTGTAGCTCCTCTTTGTGACATTCAGCATCTCTCTCCCACACCAGGTTCGCTCTGCTTTAGCACCTCCACAGTCAGGAAGCCCTTGAAGGAGCTTTTGAAAGTGCCCAAGATCTGTGCCAGCAAAACCTTCACACTGGGACACAACACTGTGGGAAAGGCAGTGATTTACACCTGTAAACTTACCACAGGTCTAATTACTACACTTACAATAAAATCCACAGCCACCCTACACCAATTTGTTTCCATTCTGGGCCGTCTGGAATAATCTGAGCTATCTCACGTAAGTTAAAATTGGCCATTTCTATGCATGTTAACAAGGCCAGTGTCACCCCCTACTGTCAGTAGCTGCCTTTCAAAATCAAAGATAAATTGAAAATAATTGTCCTTGACATCACACTACATGAAATTCTTACTTTCATGGCTTTTATTCTCCCTGTAAAATATGTGGGTATATACATACCTGATATGTCCCCAGTCTACTCCTTCAAAAAATTGATGACTTTTTATTTCCTCTACTCCATTGCTACCAATTCTGTTTTCTGAGTCAATACAAAATCTGGAAAAGGGGAGAAAACAAAGGGAATATTATGATAAATTCCAACAGAAGCAACAGTACCCAGTAACAAGAATTTCAAGAAGTTCTGTCAAATTGTTTCACCAACTGGGGTAACATCAAAGCAGCCCATTGCATCTAGGAGAGAAGGGAAATAGTAGAAGCAGAACATTGTTAAATCCTGAAACAAAAAGCTACAATGCCAATAACTGACACCTTTTCTAAACTGCTGCATGCCCATCTTCCAGGTTTGTGAAAAGTTGCTGCATGTTCTGGCCCTATAAGGTCAGTTTGGAATGGAGGCTCAAATCGCTACTACTGAGAACTGCCCTGGCATGTTCTCAACTATTTAAACATCTCTGTTTCAAAGTGAAACTAAGAAGAATAGATACACTTAGTAAATCAGGTCTGCTCTCTGATGTCGTATTTCAGAATCCCAGTGAGCCAGCCCATTCCAAACATGCCATGTCCCTATTCTCCCCCTTCCCTCTCCTCAGAGGTGCAGGTGGTGCAAAGACCCAGGGCCTGTTTCTGATACAGCCCTGCTGCAAAACCTTAGCTCAGACTCCACAAGAAATTGTCAGTTTATGAGAAGCAGACATGAAATAACAGGAAGCAAAAGGTGAAACTGGAGACAGAGGATTGGTGAGATGGGGACTGTTACCTGCTCCAGCAGGCCAGAAGGAAAAGCCTAAAATCCTAAAGAAGGAAAATAGGGAAGTGAAAGCTCTCTGACAGCAACTCATTGACCTCAGGGATTTGTTCCAGGGAGCTGCAGAGGCTGACCCTTCTCCTGTGGACTGGCAAAGCCTTTCAAGTATCCCATCCAGGAGATGGGAATACCAACATTTGCCTACAAATGCATTAAATCCCAGCCATCTTCTGCATATGTAGCACAGTAGGTAGGGCTATAAACAGTATCCAGTTATAAACTAAAGTTCTTTTTCTTGTAGTTGGGTGTCAGTTTGGAAGAAAACCTCCCTGTATTTGTATTGCAGCCCGGAAGACTGGGTGGTGCAAAGGACTAACAACAGACCTCAAAACTGTAACAACACTCAGCCACAGGATATGTCAGGCTTTGTCTGAACTTGAGCTTGTTTTAGTTTGGATTTGTCTCTACCCATACTCCTTCAGCTTTAACTGCATCTCCCTTTAAGCTAAAAACACACACTGCCTAACCTGTCCAAGCTGTAATGGACAAAATACCCAAAATGCCCAGGTGGTTGCTGTCCAACCTGTTTTGACCTCATTTTAATAGATTACTTATAACTCAGATGTTCTAGCCCAATTTTAACTCTTCTCCTTGTGGAGGTAAACTGATAAATTCAAGTAGTCATTGTGTAAGTAGATGCATGAGCAAGGCATACTAACAAATACACTGAAATCTCTAAAACATCCCCAAACACAGCCAGGATTGAGGAGGAAGAAATCCTCAGCAGTAATGCTCTACTCTGTTCAGCAGAGAACTTGGGATGCTGACAAGGAAGGTTGAGCAGAACAATAGAGAAATAGATACTGAAAGTACAATATTAACTGCTTGACATAGACTTACTCATGAGGATTAGTGATAATTAAATTATTTGAGCTGTTGGTATCCCTAGTTGGATGCAGAATAACTGTTTCTTGTATTTGTTACATTTTTGTAGGTTACTGGAGCACTGCTGGAACTAATTATAAATTCTAGTTTTGTGAAGTACATTCCCCTTTTTGCCTCTAACAAAATTATATAAGGCTACAGCATTAGCTTTAAAAAGAAAAAAAGGAAAAAATATCAAACCCAAAACCAATGTGGCCCCCAAGTCCTCCCAGGACAGGAGGGTCATTTCTGTAAAATGAGGTTATTTTTGTAAAATTTTACAAGAGGGTCATTTCTGCCTGACCTTGTCACCAAAACTTTCATGAAAATCTCAATGAAAACTAAAAACTGGGATTTTGAAAGCAGTCCCAAAACATCCCAAGATTTCTGTTCAGTGCATGAAATGCTGGTGAGTGGTTATTTTCCTGCCACCTCAGAGAAGAAAAAAAATCTGTGTCGATCACTTTATTTTTGGTCTGCTCTGTTTCTCCTTATACCATGGTACAAATCAAAATCATTCCAGATCACTTCTTCATGTTAAACAAGTGGCAAAGAGAAAAATACTTTAAAAAATCCATCAAAGATTGCGACAGAAGAAATCAGCCTTTCCTCCAACATAAAGCTTCCTTTACACACAAGGAATTTACCCTGATGGAAGATGAGCCTGGCTGGGCAAGAGGCCAGAATTGTTTTTTTCTCACTGACCTTAGAATTAAATCCTTTGCTTTCTCTGAAATGGGCACCTCTGGAGGAAACACCAATGTTTCTTTCCAGTTCATAACTTTCCTGTAAGTCTCTTGTGGCGTTTCTGAGCAGAAAGGTGGATACCCTGCACAAATAAATAAAAAATTATGAAACTTCTTCTAGGAGAGCAGTGACCTGGGCCTCTGCTTTTGCCACTGGGGCTCCCAAATATAACAAGTATTAGCCAGAGGTTTCCTCTTCTGAACAAATGGACCCTGTTACCTTTCAACAACTCTTAAGTTGGGGTTTTTAACATACCTATTAGCATTTCATACATAATCACTCCCAAGGACCACCAGTCACACAGTTTGTTGTACCCAGTCTGCATAAACACTTCTGGAGCAATATAGTCTGGGGTTCCCACAGTAGAATATGCCTGGAAAAAAGGAATCATCTCTTTAAAAGAGAAATACCGTGGTTTTACTTTGCAGTACCTTTTCCTGTGGATTTACATACAGGATCTTGTTATTTGGGTGAGCAAGAATGCATAATTTGAGAATTTACAGGAACTCAAGTCCCAAGAATATTATTCTTTTACATTACTAAACACAGAGAACCTCAAAAATAAATGGAAATGATCCTCTTTAATGTGATGAAATCATAGAATATTGCAACTGCAATATCAGAAAGTCATCTTAGCTTAAGTTTCAGGTAGCTGCATTACAAAAATACCCAAGAAGTGGTTTTTGTTTATTTTTAAAGGCATTAATCAGTGATAGATTCCCAGGTGTGGCACTCATGATACACAAGCCATGTATTGGGAATTTCTCTTTACTGATGAAAAATCTTCCATGGGGCAGGAGGGAGAGAAAAAAACAAAATCCAACAAAAAGAACCCCTTAAAGAACAAAAAAGTCCCCCAAAAGCAGTTTTGCCACAAAAATATTTTACTTTAATTTGTCTGACCATAAAGAAACACTTTGTTTGATTGAACAGACCTGAGATATTTAGGATTGAACCAATGGAAAACCAAAAATGTGGCTCCTTTCCCAACAGTGTTAATGCAAGTTGTCATTTTGGCCTTTTATTGCCTCTGTGGGACTGTTCTTCACCACACGGCTCTGTCACATCGGCCTTTATTGGACTTGAGACAAATTCTTTTCAAGGATCTAATTCCAGGCTGGAATAAGGCTGTGAAATACAGCCCCATAAGGCAGCATGGTGGCTGCAATATAGTCACATTTTGTCTCATGAGATAAAAAGAGACCACCCAAAAACTTTTGGGGAATACTGCAGTAGGTCACGTTTTTTAAAGGGCGTGAAAATAAAGGGTCCCAAAATTTGAGAGTTGGGGGCTTTTTGGTGAAAATCATGGGCAGGGATAGAAGTCTGAAAGGCCATGGCTGACAGACACTTTGCTTTGGTTCAATTTATGCCACAAGTCCCCTCATTATGTGACCTCTCCTCACCACAAACCCAGGCTGGAGCACTCCAGCACCAACACTCTCTCACAGCCTTTCCACCACATTCCCATTCAGCAGATTGGGAATTCCCCAGAGCTCTCCAAAAAGGAATTCTGTAGCCACACATCTGCTTGTGACTGAGCTGCAGGAATCAGAGCCATGAGTCCACACTGTCCACACCAGGCCAGTACTGCAGAGAGCCCCAGACAAAGCTTGGCCACTGGGCTGAGGACACCTGAGGGCTTGGGCCAGATGCTTACAAGGCAAACAAAGGCACAGAGAAGAGCAGGGTCTTGCTATTCCAACCTGGACCCCCTTCTTTTGAGTTATTTGTGATTTTGGGAGCTTGTAGAGCAGCACAGATGAGGGCCTTCCAGGTTTTAAAAACCAGGAGCATTAGCACTGAGTTTTAATTTAACACTTCCTGTAACTAGATTAAAAGCAAACCAAGAATTTCACATTATTTAATTAACTCACCAGCTGTCGCCTGTTCTTCTTCCATGTTTCTGCTTTCCTCTTTGAGTTCATATTCTGAAATGCTAATTTACAAAGTAATTATTAAATAACAAGTGTATTTGTGAGAATTAAGATAAAAAAGATTTACAGGGCTCCAGTTTTAAGTAACTATCTTGTATATTTAGAACCCTAGTCTAGAAACAGATACTTGATTATAACGGAAAATGGTAACATGTGAATAACTACTATCTAATGCACAGCTGAAACTCAAGTAGGACACATATCTAAATTAGAATTTGCAATTCTAAATTAGAATTTGTTAAAATTTTTAGATCAGCTTCTGAAAACTTTCATAAGACTGTCACTGACTTCAGTCCTTTGGCACATGGAACCCATGTTCCTCCTGAAAGAGCAGTTCTATAACTTCACTAACATAATGAAAAATACATTACAATATAGATAGATTACATTATGTGTATTCATATCTGTATATGAATATAATAAGAATCAGAAATCATCATTTCTTGCATGTGAAATGCCCCCATGACCCAGGGAACAAGCATTTCCAGTTTTCCAATTAAATGCAATCAGCCTGCCCCATCTTGCTTATCCCAGCAGAAACACAGGTTCAATGTACAGCAGCAGCTCAAAACCATTTACATGTTCAAGTAGGACAGCTCATACTCACAGAAGTCACTTGGTGGGTTGTGTGTGAGGTTCCTGTAAAACTCTGTTCTGTGGGCTTTCTTTAAACCTGTGCAGAGCCCAAAATCAGACAGCTTTACATGACCCTAAAAAAACATAATCAGAGAACACAAAACCATTATTTAGATAGGTAGTGCTTGGGGGGAAAAAAAGTTTTAACCACTGCACATGCCCTCTCAAACCATGATGGACTGGCATAGGACAAGCAGGGAAGCAAAGACTGAACCTTGGTGTACTGGAAGGGTCTGTTTTCTCTCCAACATGCTATGGCCTCCCAGGAAAGGTCATATCTACTATTTCCCAACAGCTGAGGGCAGCTACTTTGCCTGGTTTTGTTTTGAACTGGATACCACTGTGACTGAGCAAGCCTCCAGGACAAAATTCCTTTGCTTTGTTTTGATAATAACCTTGGCTTTAATCAGATTTCCAGACATCAGTGCTGACAGAACCCATCAAACCTGACAGACCTGTGCATGCAGGAATAATGCCTGGCCTCCATGATCTTAAAGATCTTCTCCAACCTACATAATTCCATGATTTGGTGATGCTGACTTGGTGCATTTCATAGCCAGAATGGTCAGACTAACTGAGGGAGCTTCCACAGGTGAGTGGGTGATGAAGTAAATGTAATTGTAGGAATTGAACATTTAGCATTGTCTGAATTGTCCACAGCTACTTCAAGATGCATGAAAGGAATGATGCACCTTTTAATGTGCATAACATCAGCATCTGGTTACCCTGAGTGGGTTTTTTTCCCTTATAAGCCTTGCCTTAAAATGGTTAAAAGGCTTCTGAGTAAGACTTAGCTTTGTTTAAACATACTGATGGTCTCCAGAGAAAATACATTGGGCATTCCCAGCCTTCCCTCCAGCCAGTTTAAATCTCTGGAGTGGCACCAGTGGCTCCCACTCCTCTGCAGCAGATGTGCAGCCTGGGATCTTGGAAGCACCAGCAGTTGGTGAGCCCAGTACATGCCTTGGCATCCAGCAGGAGATTGTCTGGTTTGATGTCCCTGTGGATAAATCCCAACTGGTGAATGGCATCGATGGCCAACACTGTCTCAGAAATGTAAAACTGCGTTTCCTCCTCTGATAAAGTGTCCTTCTTCATTAGTAAGGTCATCATGTCACCTCATCAAAGAGAAGAAAATACAGCTTAGGGATCACAACATTTTAAATCACAAAACTGTAAGAAACCCCAGTAGAATCCAAATTTAACCTTGTAACTGGCCTTTTAGTTGCTAATCATAAAACTAATACTGCAAGGACCTACAAATCCAACTTACTTTTTTAGCTGAAAATCCTAAACAGAAATTTTAATTGATAGCCTGGGAAAATACAGCGGATTTTTACATAAGTTAGATTTATTGCACAAACTGTTTAAACAAGGGCTTTTCTTCTGGTATGTTTTTACAGTTAATGGCCTCAGTTGAAAAAAGCAGAAATTTCTATTAGAATAATTATTTAATTCAGGTCTATTTAATACCCCTTCAACCTTTTTCCTTCCCCTAAAAATCAAGAATGGTCACATGACCGGAACTTCATTTAAAAGAGTGCTCACATTTTTATATTTCACAAATTATACAGCATGTTTGTTTCTAATATTTTATAAAGCTGCCAGCAAAAGCTAAGGAAGAAGTACCTGTATTACCTGATACCACAGCACCCAGCTTACCTCCAGGTAAAAACTCCATGATCAGGTAAAGGTTCCTTTTATCCTGGAAGCTGTAAAACATTTTCACTACCCAGGCTCCATCTGCTTCAACCAAAATATCTCTTTCTGCTCTGATATGGGCCACCTAAAATTAAAAATTATTATTATTATTATTAGGCAAATATTGAAATATTTCAACAAGGAACATCACATTACATTCCTAGCCCTACAGCACATTTTCATGACCTTTAGCAAAGGAACTATTTTTCTAGCTCTTTCCATACTCATATTTTCCATTATTTTTTACAAGATCCTAGTGTTTCTCTAGAAACACAAAGCACAGCTTGTTAAGCTGTTTCTGCTTGTTAGAAAGAACTGACAAAGCTGGTGGAAAAAGTACAAGTAAGTTCAGGAATATCTGACCTTGCTCAGGGTATTTCAGTTCCAGCTAAGGTTTTGGAAAATACATGGAAAAAGTATTTTCCATGGAAATGGAAAGCTGCTACCCTATAATTTGCTGGAAATTAAGAATAATGGAGATTGGAGGAGGGGTGTGTGTTTTCACTACAATATACCCTCATCCTGGAGGAAAAATTAGAGACATATGCATGAAAAATATTTCTTGACAGCTGTAAGAAAAGCAGCACACAGTCTTCTGCATCTGTTCCCCAGTTCTATTGATGAGAAACATCTTCACATGAACCTTGTCATAGAGTTGCATGGGGCGAAGGTTCTTCTTCTGCAGGAGACACTCCAGCTTGGATTTATTTAGTCTCATTAGAAAGTACTTCTTTCCATCCTCAACTCCTCAATGCAGCTCTAAAATACAACAGGAAAACTTTGCCTAAAAATAGCCAGGATTTCTCCCAGTGCTACCAGACTTGGGGAAAAAAATACTAAAAGATGATTTTTTTTTTTTTGTACATGTGTCCTCTCTTGTTTCTCCACAGCGCAAGGCAGGCAATGAAAATTCCAGCAGATAAACAGTGGCCAGGGAAGATCACTGTCTCAAACTGAATGTAGAGCATGAGCTCAGACTCCTTCCCATATCAGGTTCTGAAATGGGGGCAGCACCACACAAATTCTGGCTGCTCTGCACACCCTGCTGCTCCTCTGGCTCCCAAAATTCAGGGCATGGGCTGCAGAAGACAAAATAATCTGTGCAGGAAAAAAAAGCACCACTACTGCAGGGTAATGATGTGCAAATGATGAGTAAGGTTTGGACTAGTATGAAAAAAGTCCTCTTTTATCTGCTTGATTTCTTTGCTTTGTGGTGCTAAAGTACTTGCTGTGTCCTCACAGTGAAATGCTAGCTAAAAACCAACCAAACTAACAAAATCAAAACAAATAAACCCCCAACAGGATTAACCCGACTATAAAGCAAACCCAAGGAAAACAATGATGATGAACAATGTGATTTCTGCTGGTTTTCTTTACAAAAACATTGAATACCTCCATTTTTACTTTGGCACAGGATTATTTTTCCAGAAGTATTTTCCTTGAAATGCAGTTTTGCAAATTCAGTACTATAAGCTCCGTGTTGATAAGGCGAGAAAAATAAAATCTTTGTCACTGTTCCAAATTAGTTGTAAAGAAACTATTTTTTTAAATGCAGTTGCATTACCTTATTTCCTAACTTCTGCTGCTTTTGTGCTGCGGTAGCAACAGCACAGACTCTCTGGACTGCCAGACCATTGTAGGGGCTTTCAAAGGTAGAACACATTTTCTAGAAAGGGTAAGTTTGAAATTTAGGGGACTTAGAGATCACAAACCTGCTCTTTCTCCAGCATATCTGCTTTTCTCAGTATCTTCATTGCATAAATGTGACCTGTATCCTTCTTCTGAACGAGGCGGACCTTTACCAAGAGAGAGAACTCAGTCAGTGCTCTTTGCCTCAGAAATCCACTTGAAGGCTCCCAATTGCCAGGTATGGAAAAGTTCTCTTGTTAAATATTTAAAAACACATTTAAATATGTTAAATACTGAAAAAGGAATTATTCTGCACCATGTACAACACTAACACTAATGAGGAACAGTTTTTGTTTTAGGAAAAGTTAGCAGGCAAGAGAATTCCAGGTAGCTTAGACTGTGTAAATTCAGGAGAAATTCAGGAGAAATAACTGATGTGACACAGGGCAGAATGGAGGGTTATCAAGAGGTGCTGTGCCACTCCAAAATTGCAGAGGGCCATGTGGGCAACATCAGTGTGGGAAGCCATGGGAAAGTGTCTTTCCAGAAGCCTTGGGAAATCAATGCATGTGATTAATCACCAGACTTATCACACTTGGAGAATGGCACAAATAGCTGCTGTTCTGCAATAAAACAATTCATCAAATTGCAATTAGAATGTTTCATTACAGTGGTCAATCCCATTTTAGTCTCCTGTTCAAGCGAGAATGCCACAAACCTCCCCAAATGCTCCTCTTCCTATGACTTTCAAAGACTCAAAGTCATCCAAGCCGAGCCTGGTCCTCTTGAGCCGCAGAAACTCCGTTTCTTTGCGAGCATGCTGTGACCTGCGCAACTTTTTCTGAGGACACAGGCACAGGAATTTGTCAGTCATTTGTCAGTAGAGAGTCAAGATATGCACCCTCCCTTCCTGGGAAATTGTTCTCTGGAATCCCAACAGGAGAAAAACTTCTCCTACATTTCCTTCTGAATTTCTCAAAGCACAATCCTTGAGTATGGTCTTTTCTATAGAAGCCTTAGGCACAGCTTCCCACCTTTTTTTGGTTGGTGGTGGTATTTTAATTTTATTACTTAGTTATTAAAAAAAAAATATGAAGAAAAACTATCATACTGGTCCAAACAAAGTGTATGAGTCCCAAAGACAAAGTCACTGCCTGAGGCAAGGACTCCTCACTTTGGGCAGTGTGAAGGACCAACAAAAGCTGAAACTTGTATCCCAAGTGATGACAGGCAACAAGGAGCTTAGCAAGCAGCAGAGGCCCTGGTTACAGATCTACTACAAAATCCATTTGGTTTATGGCAGGCAAGCACTCAATTCTGAAAGAAAAATCTGTCCAAATGCCATCATCTATTTTGTCTGATGAAAATGTCACCAGGATTCACCCCAAGAGAAGACAAATGCTGCACCCAAAGATGCTGAGATTTCAGAGTCTGCCAGGGAGGTCCTGGATAGACACCTGCCAGACTCTGTGCTGAGATTACAGCATCCTTTAAAGCCACAAGATGGCAATACACATCCACACTCATATTCCCACTTCTCAAGAGTTATAGCAGGCACAAAAACTCGAGAACACACACTCTTCCTACTTAATTCTCAGCCTACCCTGAAGGCAGACATGGTGTAATGACCTCAGAAAAGCAACTTACTGACCAAAGTTCTCAGAGGTGGCAACCATATTGAGATCCCTCCTCATATGCATCCAAACAGAGCAAAGATGTGACAGCTTATTGTTTAAATCAAGAAAAAATGGTTCAGCATTTTGCTTTCTACCCACTTCTAACCAGACGCCACTGTTTTTTTCTTACCAAATATAACAGCAAACAATTTTAATCCTTGAAAAGCTTGCTAGCTACTTGCTGTGGCCATATCTCATAAGAACTACAGGTAGCATGAAAAGCCTTGGATAGCTATTGCAAGTATCAGTCAAGCATATTCCCAGCTTCTCTAACATAAACAGGTTATTAATAGGGTGACATTTGTGTACAAAATAAAACCTTCTGTCATGCTGGCTGATGTTTCTGTGAGCTCTTCAAATGCTCATCTGAAGCAGTGGGACAAAAGCAAGGCAGTTTGTAAGGTTATTTAAGCAGGATTTACCTCCTCATCTGCAAGGCCTTCCTCTTCCATAGCCACTTCCAGCTTCTTCTGCCTGCCAAGGAGAGAAACAGGGGATTGCACATTTATTAAAACCAAACAAAACACCATAAGTAAACACCTTTGCTTCACATACTCCAAGTACTGAAGAATTTGTCTCAGATGGAAATTTACAGGCAGACAGCCCCACTCCATCCAGTTACTCATTTATGAACAAAGCTGAGGAAAATGTAGAAGCAAATTTAAGTATACGCTCATGTACTTGCAGAATCAGGCATTAAACCTATATGAAAAAGTATGTTATTAGAGTGATTGTATCTTGTTGAATTAAGGCTGTTTTTATCAATTAGGATTTAAAGCCAGAATAAAAATCATTTTTTTCACCATTTCTATCTCAGCTCCATCTCCCACATGCTGCCCAGCTCCAGCTTCCATCCCCTCTGGGTGATGACCTCCCCCTGGTCACACACCTGGTCCTGCCCCTCTTCTTCCCATGCCAACTAAACTCTACCCCCTGGATGCACCATCCTCTCCCCACTAGAGTCCTGCCCAGGCCAGGGCTCACAGCTCCAAGTCTTCCACCAGTGCCATGCTAGGCTGGGAGGCTCTGAGAGGGGAGCAAAGCCTGGCAATACCCCCCAGGTGGCAGGGGGTCAGCATATGGCAATGGACCCCTTTCTGTCCACTCACAGGATGCTCCTTTACAGCTGCCAGGGTGCAGCTTTCTGAAGGCTGGTTACCCCCTGCAGCAGCCAAGAATTCAAAGGCTTGGAGCCAGGCTGCTGGTGCCTTTCAGCACTTTGGGAAGTGCAGCAGGATCCTCTAAATTACAGGCCCTTGATAGACAGTCTAGTCTCCTAAGCAGAAGCAACTCCATTACATGGAATAATGACTAAATATGATGAAGAGAGAAACCCTGCTGCTTGACTGAAAACCCTTCAATTAAAAACATATTACCAGGGGAATGATAATTTCATACATTAATGACAATCCAACACAAGATTCATTATAATCAAACACTTGGTGCTTTGACACCTAATTCAAGTGGCACTTCACACCTCAGAGACAGGACTGGGCACTGCTGGGAGAAGCTGAGTGGTGATGACCATCCCATACTCCCATGCAAGGAGTACCAGGCTGCACTACCCAAGCAGAATTTACAGACTGGGATTACATTATCCCCCAAAAGTCTTCCTGCCCACCTGAGAGCCTCTCAAACCCTCCATCATCAACCCCTTAGTCATTTGCTGCCATTTATTTCTACACCAGCTCTTTGCCTTCTTTCCTTACGCCATCATCCCATCAAACACCTCTCAGCCCTGTTCCCTCTCTCCTATACACTCCCTTCTGCAGGGTTTGAAAGTCTTGGCATGAGCTCCATGGTACAGAGCAGGAATAGACACCATAAGTCGCGGCCTCACCCCAAACCAAGCTCCCACCCCTCAGCAGCTCTGCAGAGTTCATTCCCTGGGGCACATGCAGAAAAATGAGAGGTCTCCAACCTCATAAAGAAGGTGAAACCTCAGGTAACTGCAAAATAACACCCTGCACAGAGCAGTTTCCACAAAGTAACTGATGAGGAGGTGGATTGCACGAAAACGTCAGAAGTGGAGCTCCTTGACCACTCAGTGAGTGGGGTGTTCATAGGTGCCCCCAAAGACAGCCTGTGGCCTCTAGAATTCACTCCCTGCCACCACATACAGAAAAACTTCCCAGAGCTGTCCCATCCCTGGGGATTGAAGTGCCCTTGAACAAACAGCAAGAAAAGCTGTAGAGCTGGGAGAGGAAGCAGAGGCAATACCTGGTTTCCCTCTCCTCGTGCTGTATAATCAGGTTGCTGTAGAAGTTCTCCAGTGTGAGTTTGGCCACCGTCACTCTCTCCCGGGTGTGGTTACTCATGGGAAAGGATGTTGTAGTCCCTGCAGTCATCGCCATGGTAACATGTACTGAAAGAGAGCAAGTTAAATCATTACTCACTTCAAAAAGAAAATTTAAAAAATACATATTCCTCTTTCCCACTCTCCATCTCCAAATTCTTAGGCACTCCAGAATTCACAGTAAAGGCACTGTTCTTTAGATATAAGAAACTCTATTAAAAATCACCTTATAAAATTATTCCATGATAACAGGAGGATGTGCTATCCACTCTCTAAAAAGTAATAACATGTTGGCAAAACAAAGAGTGAATCATAGCAAAGAGCACTGCGTGCTCCAGACAGCTCACCCAGCTGTGCTTGTCCACAAATAGGGAAAATGTCCCTCTGGCAGATGTCCTGGGCCCAGCCTGGGGGAGGGAAAAGGGATAGGAGAGAGAAGGATCAGGCAGCTCCCAGAGCTGGACTTGTCACAACTCTGTGACAATTTCAGACTCCAAAAATTCTAGATGCTAAAAAAAAAGATGGGATAAAATGAGTCAGCAAATGGAACAGAACCCCTAACCCCCTAAGCCCCTAACCCCCATCCAGAAAAGTTATTTCAAGGATAAAGATAACCATCTAATATATTTGAATTTTAAATCTGCTCCACAAAATTACACTTGGCCAAGTGGTATTTATGGCTTAGGGCACACAGTCACTGGGCACCTAAAAACTGGGAAGAAAGCAGAAAGAAGAAAGACTGCTCTTCTTGAGAGATTTCATCCTGAACCCAAAGAACTTGGATGTACTGGAACAACACTTCTAAATGCTGGAAAAAGACATCTCAGGGCAGCTCTGAATGCCCTGCAGCTGATCCAAGAAATCCAGGGGAGATTAAAAAAAAACCAGGACAGTTTGTCCTAAGATTCATGCCCTACCTGGAAGTGGGTTGAGGCACTTTAGGAGAGACTCATAGAAGAAAAGCATGAAAAGCAGCATCTCAGCCCCACTCCTCCTTGGTCAGGTTGTTTTAAAGTTAGTTTTGGAATATTACACAGAAGTACACATCACAGAACCATGGAATGGCCTGGGGTGGAAGGGACCTCAAATACCTTGTTCTTCACCCTCCTGCTATGGGCAGGGACACCTTCCACTATCCCAGCTTACTCAGACCCCCTTCTGGGCTTGGACACTGCCAGGGATGGAACAGCCACAGCTTCTCTGGGCAACCTGTGCCAGGGCCTCACCACCCTCAGAGTAAAGAATTTCTTCTTCATATCCAATCTAAACCTCCTCTCTGTCTGTGTGAAACTGTCACTCCAGGCCCTTCTCAAGAGTCTCTCTGCATCTTTCCTGTGGGCACTTTGCACTTCAGGCACTTGTCTTCCTTTTTTTTTTTTTTTTATTTAAGCCTTTCATTTCAGCAATGGATTGTGTAGAAGACAAATCCTGAATTAGGCTTAATTTAAGCAGACCCCAATGGCTTTTAGGTGAACTGATTAGGGGTTTCATACAGAAGGGAACTCACACGTCCACACTGGGGCAGGAGGAGTGCTGAACTCTGCTCCAGGCTCTTTGTTTTGGTTCTGCCTGCTGCACTCTGAGAGGGTGGGATTTTTTTCCTGTGGATTTTTCATGGGATCTGATATGACAATAGGGTATTGGTTGCCAGAAACACCGTTGCTGTGTCAGAAATAAAGGCATTTTATAGCATACTCAGACCCCCTTCTGGGCTTGGACACTGCCAGGGATGGAACAGCCACAGCTTCTCTGGGCAACCTGTGCCAGGGCCTCACCACCCTCAGAGTAAAGAATTTCTGCTTCATATCCAATCTAAACCTCCTCTCTGTCTGTATGAAACTGTCACTCCATGAAACTGTCACTTGCCCTTGTCAAGAGTCTCTCTCCATCTTTCCTGTGGGTTCTCTTCAGGCACTGGAAGGCCACACTGAGGTCACCCTAAAGCCTTCCCTTCTTCAGGCTGAACAATCCCAATTCCCTCAGTCTTCCCTCTCAGCAGAGCTGCTTCATCCCTCTGATCCCCTTGGCGTCCCTGCTCTGGCCTGCCTCCAGCAGCTCCCAGTCCTTCCTGTGCTGGGATCCCAGGGCTGGATGCAGCCCTGCAGGGGGTGGCTCAGCAGAGCGGGGCAGAATCCCCCCTTCATCTGCTGCCCTGGGGCTCTGGGTGCAGCCCAGCACAGGGGGGTTCTATCTTCTTTTTCTATAACCTAGTTTAATCCATTTCCAAAGCTTTTGATTAACCTCCAGAAACACTCAAAACTCAACAGGACCCTGAAGCCTCCAAGCAGCAAGCTGACAAGAAAACCTCACTAGTCCCATCTATGCCAATTATGGGCCAATATTTTACAACTCCTGGGGTGTGATCTTTATAATTGTGTTATTTCTAAATACAGCTTTCTGTGCTTAGAACAGAACCTTGTACAAAGTTCACTCATGTCAACAAAAAAACCCCTTCAGCTCAATGGGTTTTGACCTAGTAGTCCCATTCCAGCCTCAGGATGATGCTATCTGTTGTTACTGAGGTTCGTAATTACCAGATCAGCAGGTTTGCCAAGCACTGCTCTGGGTATGTTTCAGACAGAAAAATAAGTATTTTGTTCCTCCATAATTCATGTTTTCAGTAATATCACCATTCACAAGCCCCTGTTTCATTTAATCTGCTACTGACAGGAAACAACATTCCCTGGCAGATAAAACAAATCAGATATTTCACGGTGCAGATTCTTCTTCAACATTATTGCCATGACCAGATCCTTCAGACACCCTTCAGTTTTTACAAATCTCCTTTTGGGAAGGGAAAACAAAGTTCACACACTCAGAATGGGTGTTGTCTTCCTCTAAATTCTTCTGATATTTGATTCTATGATCTGGTTTCCAAGTTAAAGGAAAAGAGAAGCAAACCATGCCATCACTGACACTTCAGCATTTCATTCACCTTGTTTATTTACTTCATCTCCTTTAGCCTTCCTTCCCCGATGCCCATTACGGTTGACTAAATTTTGTTACTTTAAAGTTACAAATTTAATTATATTTGTTCTATTTTAAAAACCATTAAGAAACTAAGTAAAATTAGCCCCACTGTAACAGGCTTGGCTATTTAAAAGTCAAAGATGTTCAAGTGTTTTAGCCATTTTCAGCCATTCTTCCCCCATGGGGCATCTGCCTGAGGCATCTTTATAGTCGCAGCTAAAAGCAGAAAGTGCTGCACGACTCTTGAACCAAAAGGAGTAGACACTCCCACTCCCTGATCCCCAGGACTGTGAGAAAACCCTGGGGAGACACTGTCAGACACACAGGACTCAGGATGCAAACACTGCACAAGTCCTGCAGCCACTGTGATGATGATGACACCAGGGAAACCTGGGGGATGTCAAGACCCAGAGAGCATTTTGGGGTGTCAGCAGCCAGCTCCAATATGCTCCCTAAACACCAAAAGACTTTAATGCACCCAAAATAGATGTTTTCAAGATGAAGGAAGGTACTTTCCTGCCCTGAGGCTGATTCCTAAACCTAAAAACACCCCAAAACAGCAGTGTGGGGCTCTGATTAGAGCAGGCAAAAAATCCCTCTGCCAAACAGCAGGAACTCCTCCCAGGCCAGGCCAGGGCTGTGTGCATGCTGTAAGCTGGCACGAGCCTGGACTGTCTCTGAAAGGAGCCATCCCATTTGCCATCCAACCATCTGTTTTGTTTCCTTCCCGCTGCCGCTCCATGCTTTGTGCCAGCACAAGAAGCTGCACAACCCACACTGAGGAACCACTACCAGGCTGAAATAAATTCTTTTTAAAATAGTTTGGGTGAGGCTGGTTTCACCTGCAGCGATTGACAAGGGCCACCCTGCCCCAGGCTGAGCCTCCTAGGCCCTTCCCATGGAGTCAGTCCAAAAGCAGGAAACAAGCAGGCATGGCCTCCTCGTCTTTTAATCTGGCTCGTATAAATTAATCTCAGAAATCATTCCAACACACCCACAGTAATGATAAGGAAATATTTCCTAATATGGAATAAAAACTGAATATTGGAGTTGCGCTGCACTCCAGGATTTCCTGCTATTCAACACAAATGAGCAGCAGAAGTCTCCCATGAACAGCAGCTGAGATTCAGCTCTCTGCTGCTCTTGACAAGCAGCAAGCGTAAATTCATTTCCCTGACAGGAAAAGGTACAGGCTGAAACTATATATGGATATACAAGAGTATACAGGGGAATATATGCACTAAAAACCCCCTAGGTCTACCTACACCTATCTAAGATCCATAAACTATGTTTATTTCCCTTGAGAGTTAATCTTTTGTCCATTCAAGTAGTAAAGAAACTTTTGATCCAAACGTCATAACCTTGGATTTCACAAACAATGGGAGACTGGCCATGTGAAGTTTAGAAAAGCAAATCTACTAATAAGGTCACTTCCATCTCAGCTCCACTTGCCTTCAGCCTTCGGTGATACAATTACATTCTTTAAGTTCTACTGTCAATAGCTCTGTCCCAAAGTGAGGAGCACATTTCAAGACATTCTGTACTTAAAACACTCGCTCAGCACTGAAGGACATGCAATGACTTCCCAACATCTTCCTGAGCTCTTTCAAATAACTCATTTTACTCCCTTTACTTCTTAAGACAATCCAGCCATTAGGGTTTAGCAGTACCCACTCAAACTGCCTCACTGAGCATGTGTGTGTAGTTGTGGGCAGGACTCCCACACCCACCCCAACCTCACTGAGAAAGGGGACACACGGGGGTTGTACTTCTGCTCCAACTGCAGGAATGGAGGGCTAGAGCCAGGAACAGGAAGAGAACAGAGGTGCTGGTGTCTCCACACACTGCTGTCTTCCAAGGAGTGCTCCAAGTGGGAGGTCAGCTCAGAACAACACTGGATAACTAAATGAAGCATGAGACGTGATAAGGGAACCAGACCTGCAGTCCCAAGCAGCCACTCCTTTACTTCCAGTATTTACCATTTGGGTGCATTTTAATTTCCTGGGGACAAGAGAAATCAGTAGCTTGCTGAAAGCCAACACTGCTCTGCAGTGAAATAACATTTCATAGCTTGCTTCACCTCATTCTATCTGTCCTTC